AGCCTAACCTTTCCTATTTTCATGTCTTTGGGTGTAAAGTTTTTATTCATAATAATGGAAAAGATAACTTAGAAAAATTCGATGCTAAGTCGGATTAATGAATTTTCTTAGGTTATTCATTGTGTAGTAAAGCATATAGAGTGTTCAACAAGCGTACTAAGACCATAGAGGAGTCTATTCATGTTGTTTTCGATGAGTTTGATGCTTGCTTGGTGAGAAGAGGTATTGTTGAAAATGTTGTAGGTTCTTATGACGATGAAGATGAAATCGTCAAGGAAAAGGAACCGGAAGAAGAGAAACCATAGGAGGAAACGGAGCTTCCTAAGGAGTGGAGAACGTTAAAGAATCATCCGAATATGAACCATAAATTTATAATAATAGGCCAATAACAAATAGCGGCCTAGCGTCGAGTGTTAACACTCTAGCTTACCGTCATGCATCATATAAGGTTATTGGATATGTCAAAACATCATGTTTATTTCCAGAAATCATTTCCATATTGATCATAACTGTTTGATATCAAGAATATGATTTAATATTTCAAAAATAAGTTTTCTGAAAAGTTTCTCTGGTTCATGCACATAATAATTGATTAATCGAAGATAGGAAATCGATTAATCGCTACTGACTTCAAATGCTTCAGCGGAAAATGAGGTTAATCGATTAATCGAAGATGGAAAATCAATTAATTGCTACTGATTTCATATGCTTCAGCGGAACAATCAATTAATAGATTAATCAACATGAATTAATCGATTTATCAACATGAACTAATCAATTAATCAACATGAATTAATCAATTAATCAACATGAATTAATCAATTAATACACATGAATTAATCAATTAATCGATTAATTAACATGAGTTAATCGATTAGTGTCTACTGTTCATCGTCTTCTTCCTTGGGTCCATTTTCAAAAATATCATTTTAGTCACCAAACTTCAATTAAATTATATAGAAATGTTCTCCAATGTTCATAGATCATGTTGGTATCATTAATTCATAGTTTTAACATCAATTTCAAAGTTTATGATTCTTGGTTCTTCAAGCATGTCAAACACAAAACTCAACCAAACAACCGTTTATGAACGTAGAAATGATCTATACGAACATTCTAGTCACTAGATATATCTACGGGCTTACCACGAAGCTTAACGAAGGTTTTGGAAATCTTCTGGCAAAACTTTCGGTGATGATTACTCTCAGCTCCGGCGACTTCACACCAAATTGACAGCACCTTGATACTTCTCTCTCAACAAGGAACACTCAAGAAGAAGAAGAATGAAGAACAATGGTGAAGAAATGAGGCTTGAAGGTGTTCTTATATAATGAAGGGAAGGAGAAGAAGCCAAAGGAGTAGCAGGTTCTTGATTGCTTCGACGATTTTGTAATCAACGCTGATTGCACAGGGTGCCGTTTGTTGCGTAGTTCCCTAATTGGGACTAATTTGGTCCCAGTCGGGGTACACTTTTTGGCCCAACTTTCTCTGAATTGAAATCTGATTGAACCGTTGCGGTCAAAGAGTCAAACTCTACACAACAGTATAATTTTTATTATTTATTGACAGACTTTATAAGTTAGTTATTTTTGGGTCCTACTCTATAATTAATTAATAATCAATTAATTAATTCTGATAGACCTACTTTCGGGGAGTTACATAGAGAGTTAGGCTTTGATACCAATTGTAAGAATAAGTACCCTTCACTAGAGGGGAGGTGAATAGTGAAACACGAGAATGTTTATAAATTTTCAGAGAATAAAAATCGTAGGGATAAAGTAAATAGTGTAATTAAAAAAGCGTAAGGAAAAAACACACCGATCCGACATACACTAGTTCACCACAACGTGTGGCTACGTCCAGTCTCCCGAGAGACTCTCTCGAGCTACACCAGTTCCGTTAAGCTAACGGGTGCTTAACAAACCTTTACAACCTGAGAACTCGAGTCCCACGAGCCTCAATACACTTGCTCGGAGATACCGCAGTCCAAGACTTCAACCCGAAGGAATATACCCTTCCTTTGTACAACCAAGGGAATAAACCTCCCTTAAAGTGTGTACAACACTTAACTTACAAAAATGGAAAGATTTTGTCTTAAATACCCCAACGGTCATTTGAAAACATCAATGTTCACCGATGAACATCGCTTTTCAAAAACCTACTGCCAAAAACTGACGTAAGTTGACCTGGCCAAAATATGGATGTTCAAAATCCAACACCGCTGTTTAGAAACCTACTGCCATTGCAAAACAGCGGTGCGGGGAAGGCCAACATCGCTATTTTGGTCTGGACGCCAGAACCATGGATTGGCAGCCAACGCCGAAAACCGATGTTATAAATAAAAGTTTCCCAAATTAAAAATCAAGTGTTGGAAACACTTATATAATGTATATTAGGTAGAAACCAATTATAAAAACTTAAAAACCACGTCGTTAAGGTAAAAACCACGGCTAACCAAGTTTAAGCCATTTTACGTGGTTTTCGTCAAACGACCAAAACCAAAAGGTGGTTTTTAACATGTTTTTATTGGGGAACTATTTAGATATGCCTAGAAGTAAAAACAATAATAAAATCTTAAAAACCACTTGGTTGATTCGGATGCCAAAAACCAATGCCGATAACCAATGCCGAATGCTGATAACCAACGACAAAAAATTGAAGGTTATGGTTTTTGAAAAATAATCATTTGGAAAACCTTTAAATGTGTCCAGAAGAAAAAACCAAATATAAAAACCCAAAAACCATTTGGCTAAAATCAATGCCAACGACCAACGCCAAAAACCGAACGCCGATAGTCGATGGTTATGGTTTTGGTTGGGCAAGGACCATGTGGTTTTGGAAACTTAAAACCATTTGTGAAAACACTAGTTTGATGCATGAGTTTTTTTTGAGCCATGACTTAGAGAAATTGAATGAGTTTGTTACTATAAAAACCTAAGTCTTTAGACAACGTATTCAAAACGCCAATCTCAGCGTCTTTGGAAACATCAATGCCTTTATTATGCTTTTTGTTCCTTCAAAGAAATTTTGCTATGCCTTTGAGTCTTTTTCATTTTGTTTCATGTTCCCGACGGTTTGTCAATATCAAAACCTAAACGGAAACAAGCATTGTTATTAACAAAACATCAATGTGAAACTGCTTTCTAACAGTCACACCATGATTAAGGTAATTATCACACCTTAATTATGGAAACACTCTAGAATCCTCTAGGCTACTCTAGGCTAATCCCATTCTTGTATGAACAATCCCTTGTACACACATACTAATTCATTCAGAAATAGAAAATAATTTATTCTTTCAAGGACGGAGGGAGTATAATATTTTCAAAGTATTATTTTATCTAATTTGTTGGGGTCTTTTGGAAACAGTGCGCCTCTCTACTTTTAGTAAGAGTAAAGTTTGCGTACACACGTCTTTCTCTGACCTTGCTTATGTAGGATTCTACTACGTTCTTGTTGTACTATTTTATCTACGAGTAATAAATATATCATGTAATTTTTATTTAATTATATGTCAAATGTTGATTTTGATTAACTATAATAAATCAAAACTAGACAAATACTTTGGAGCAGATGAAATATCAAACATGTTATAAATGTAGCAACTGATGGAAGCTGTGGTCTTAGATCCATACGAGGGGTGATTGGCTACGAAAACCAGGAAAAAGGTGAGAAATGAGATGCTAATACATGTCTACAAAAGGGCTGACTTATACGAGTTTTTTTTTTTGTGTGTTGGGCCCGACGTGGAGAAGAGAAGTGGAAAAGTCCTCCCCTGCCTGTGTTCTAGCAACACTCTTTGCGGTCGTTTCCCTATTTCTGATTCTGTGAATGGGCGTTGATTCCCCACAAAAAAATTGGACCATGCTAGTGTTCATTTTCTTCATTGTGATTTTACATTGGAAAATGAATATTCATGCACATGTATGAGAAAAATATCATACAACTACGGTATATATTGTCACCTGGACATAGGACTTCCTTTTGAATCGAGGAAAAAATCTGGATCGTGCTAGTGTTCATTTTCTTCACCGTGATTTTACATTGAAAAATGAATATTCATGCAGATGTATGGGAAAAAATACCGTATAACCGAGTTGTACGGTATATATTGTCACCTGCACATAGGAGTATAGGACTTCCCTTTGAGTCGAGGTAAATTCTATAGTGGATCTAAGATCCATCATGGACCTACATATGAGCAAAGTAAGCATTTCCTTACTGCTTAAATAAAGACCTGTTTTTTTATGAAAAAATTAAAAAACTCAATTGGTCAAGGTCTCTATTCCAACGCAATTGGCTAGCATGAGATGTTTTTCCTGCTTGGGGAATTTCCTCGAACACTTTGCGTGCATGGCTTGATTCCAACGTTGTCAACTCCAATAGAATCGTCCGTAATGCCTGGGAGACTTTTAAAATGGTCTCTCTCCCCAAGAGAGTCCATATTGGAAGGGAGATGTAAGGAACCAACTCAACCAAAAGCTCAAACTTGTGGTTGTGGCTCAGTAAAGATTTTTTTATATTCCAACACGCCCCTTCACGTGCAGGCGTATTCTTTTTCAGCCTTGCACGTAAAACTTTAAAATTTTCAAAATTGGGTGGTACTGATTTTCAAACTCGTGACTTCTTAGTCAACAAGGCTCTGATACCATGTCAAGGAACGAACTTAACCAAAAACTCAAGCTTGTGGTTGTGGCTCAAGAAAGATCTTTTATATTCTAACACGAGAGGAGTCAAGTGCGAGGAATGTAAACTTGACGACTGAAACAGGCGGCAGCACACAAAGGACATTTCACCCAAGAAGATGAACAGTGCCCTAGCTGAAGTATACAAGAAGATTTATGAATGTGAACTTGGGAGGGAGGGTTGAAGAGAGAATCAGCCATTACACAAGAGAAATTTATGATATGCGCATGTTTCTTTTAATGAGTAATAAAAACAGTAAAATACTTGACATACAAGTATGCCTATTTATTTAAAGTTACAGGTAAGATAATGCCATATGCTCAAACTGTTTACTTGATGATGCCTATTACATTGATAAAATACATTGCCCTATAACCACACAGAATATCATCTAACTTTTTTTTTATAAAAAGAAATCATCTAACTATACTGATAGTGATAAAATTAAACAAATAATTGTCACAAGTAAAGACTCAACCCCACGTCTCCATTTCAATTCAGAAATTAAATTAAATGAAGTGAACCAGGCACCTGTTGTATCAGTTAGAATGCAAGATCAACTTCTTGGCAACTAGGCGGATCCCAGCATTTTGTTGATAGTCATATGCATCAAAGGAGAAGTAAGCATCCACGCAAGTTCCCGGGGCGATTAAGGCGTCCAATGCTTCAGCATCAAATCTGTTCAAAGCAATCATTCGTGCACGTGAAGTTTCTTTCTTATATATATCCGTCACCAATTGCACGGCATCACCATTTACTACAGTGGGTAACCTGCAAATATATATTTTGACACACTGGTCAATTTATGAGGGGCAACAAAAACACACCCCTGATAAGATAGGCCATATAAGTTGCAACACAGCATTATAAATAGCTTAAATTTGTGAATAAACTGGGGAGTAACAAAGAAGCAACTAAAATCCAGCCCCATGTCATTAGAGAACATCAATAACAAGCAAAATAAAAGAAACCAAATAGATTAGCCATATGCACTTGTATGATGTATCCACACAAAAAGGTAACCAGTTAAGTTCATGGATTAGTGTATATGAGTATCTGACTACACGAAACTGTAGTTTTATTATTATAGTAAAATACAACAAACCCAAAACTATCGCAACTCTGTTGGGCCTGGGGGTCAAGATGTATGCAACCTTATACTTACAAGAAAACGTAGTTGTTTTTGTTAGACCCTTGATGGATTACTGCATTTACTTCCCAAAACTTCAGAGAAAGTAAGAAACAAGGGAAGGTTGACGTGTCATTTTGATTTAGTCCAATATTTTGCCAAAGCTAAATCATTGTCAAAGAAGATTCTTTTAGCTCCATTAACACTAGACTGAACACATAACAAAAGTTTTGCAGAGCCTATTTTTAGCTTATATAGTTATATACTATTGCAAATGCTGATACTTTTCTGATTTTTTTTGAGATATTGTCTCAATTACCAAATATTATTTATGTTGAAGTTTATTTAATAAAAGAGGGCAGTGTACAACAAGAAAAAGAAAAGAAGAAAAAGATAGAAAGAAAGAGAGAAAGAGAGGGAGGGAGGGGAGGAGCTTCATCTGTGGCTGGCAACAAATGAAGAAATCAAGTTGGAATTGATCTTGTAGTCTCAAAGAGAGGTGAGAATTCCCTAAAGTGTTGAGGAAATTCTCACAAAATCAAGAATTTTAATGGTTGTATTATTGAAAGATTGTTGTACTTCAATTGATATCATAGTGGAAAGTTTAATCCAAAAGGATCATACTCTTTTCCCTTAGTTGAGAGAGTTTTTTGAACAAAAAAAACGAATGAAAAAAATAGCCACTTACTGAAGACGAACAGTTGGGAATTTCATAAAATTGGGCTTTCTGGTGACTAGAGGCCTCCACTTAGAGCTGCTACGAGAATCCATAGTTAGACGGTGAGCATGATTATCAACTGCGTCCAGGATCTGACATAGGCATCCAGATGCATCCACTACAAAACTCAACCGTGGAAAATATTTGTTGCTAACACCAAAGCGCACTTTCAGACGCATGCAACAAATTTGTAACTCAGCATGATTATGCAATACCCTAATTTTTTGCATTCCACGATATGATGGGGCAAGAACTACAGATATAGAAGGTATGGATATTTTATCTGGTTCTAGGAAGTTGCTGTAACTACCAGAACCCTCGCTTTCAAATTCTGTAGAGGGCAATTGGGAAGGCGAACCAGACTCTTCTTCATCCATGTTATCAGACTCAAGGAATGTGTTCTCCAAATTTAGACCGAGCGGGCTCATATTAAAAGGATCTGGCCTGGAAGGAATGGACTCAACACGATCTGAAAGCACTTCAATTCTGTCTGAAGTTGTAAAAGATGAGGTTGTATGGATTTCCATACTGCAATGTTCTGTTGGCGTTATCAGATTTTCTGTTGGCTGACTTGATGAGGGTGTATTTGCATTCAAGCCAATAGTCTCTCCAGGAGAAAAATTTCCATTGATATGACTGCTTTTCATAGAATTGGGTGAACCCCAACTATTTTCTCTAGAATTGTCAGAAAGGCTGGACTCCTGCTAATAAGACACATTTCAGGGATCCCGGAACTCATAATTGAAAGGATTGATGTTTCAAGTAAGCAATTTTTTTACCAAAAACAGAACAGTTGCACAACACTTAAGCACTTCAAAATTCATCCGAACATCCTCTAAGCTTCTGGGTTACAGGTAGAGAAAATTCAGTATAAGCACACATTTACATGTTATGTAGAGCTCATGCAATAAAAGAGCAACAGAAAAAGTAAATAAACATTACCAACAACAAAAAAACCACTATCATCCTAATTCCATTGGGGTTTGGGCGGGTCAAGATATATGCAACCTTACCCCTGTAAACAAACAGAGAGGTATTGCCCAAAAGTTCGAAGCAAATGAAGTTTAATGTGTCATTTTGAGTTTGTCTATTATATCTACCCAAAGATAAAATGTTGTCAATAATGACTCTTTTACCTATATTGCCAATGGACGCTTACATGAGCATAAATACACAAGTTTTGTTTAACTTCTATACTCATGACGGGCTACTACTAAATCGGCATTCAAAGATTTTCTATATGCCATATAAGATTAACTAAATTAAAGAAGGGAAATCCATTGTACGGAACAAATTGACGACACATATAGATGTAAATAGAAAGGTAGTATTAGAAAGTCAGAATAACTATGCCTCAATGATATGTTATAAGATAACTAAGGTGAGCTGTAACCAGATATAGATGTACCACATTCAGTAGCAAGATAGAAAAGAAGTGTCACCTATGTGCTTGTTGTCCAAGGCCAAAGTAATTAGCTAGGGAGGCCATCTGCAATTGGGACGAAGCTGAATCAGTATTTAAACAAGATGGAACTAATGAGATTTATTCATTGATTGAAAAATAGAGTTATACAAACATCATTAAGCTGAAAATTTGAGAGTAAAGTAATTTAAAGCTTTGCAAGAATATAAATGACAGTTTCGGGCATATAATAACCAATAAAACTTCGTGTTGAAAATACCGCACAATGTAGCTCTGCTACGGAATTTCAAAGGCCAACAAAACCGTAGCCAACCGTCCCACCCACTTAGACCCACCCTAAAACTCACTGCATTAGCCCCCGATGCCTGGTCCTTCCACCTGGGTGGGTGTAATGGAAGAACCAAACGCCGAATGGGAAGGAGCTAAAGCAGGGCCGACACACCTAACATCGGCACACCAAGCCAAATTAACAAAATTTGGCTAACCGAAAGACCAACCATCAAATAGTCGACTCAGCAATGACGAAATAGCCAACCATCCCCGTTCGAAATGCAGGCATCCCAACAATTGGAATTTCGAAGGCCAACAAAACCATAACCAACCGTCCCACCCACTTAGAGCTGCCCTAAAACCGACTGCATTAGCCCCCGACGCCTGGTCCTTCCACCTGGGTGGGTGTAATGGAAGAACCAAACGCCGGAAGGGAAGAAGGTATTTCTTAGTGCGGGAAAACACAAGAGTAAAAGTGCTAAAAAAGTTTAAACCCATTTGTCTGACCATTACCAAAAAAAGTAGAGAATTTCACTAGAAGGAATGGGTGATTAAAAGTATAATTAGGATTGTGCTACATATGCAGCCACTGTTTTCATATATGTAAACTACAAGTTTCTTTTAACAAAATGAGAGAAATGACTTCAATTTATTTGCAGTTATATTGTCCCAGTGGAGAAATTCTAATTTACCTTCATGTTACCCGCTTTCCTGCCAAAGCGCTGAGTCAACAACACAAGGGAGTCAATTGTTCCCTTAGGCTCTGGTGCGGGCCTATGTATAGCAGAAAATGCCTCCCGAATTCGTATACAGTCGAACTTCAAAATGTTATGACCCGCCCATATTCTCCCTATTCAAATTGCATGAGAACGGGAAAAAAGTACTAAACCATTCAAAATTTAAAAAAGAGAAACTAAAATATCTTGCGCCCATAATCATCCAAGAGACTTTGAAATCAAAACGGTTTCTGATTCGGGTAAAGATTCCCATGAAATATCTGGTGCCCATAATCATCCATGAGAACAGAAGGAAAAAAAGTACTAAACAATTCAAAATCTAAAAAGATAAACTAGAATATCGGGTGCCCATAATCATCCAAGGGACTTTGCTTTCAAAACAATTTCTGCTCTGCGTATAGACTCCCATGAAAGATCCAAACCCATCACAGTTTCATTCAAATTTAGAAACTCAGATCAATTAATGTTCAAACCAATCAGAGGTCGATTCAAATACTTGTTAAAGAAGCAGATTAGACAAGATTATACTTTCCAGTTTGAACCAACCAGCTTAAATCTAAGATTCACAACTATTTCTATTACACACGCTAGCAAAAAAACGGCCAAATTGAGCGGGTTACCGTGGAGGAAGTGGTAGATTTTGTCGGCGACATCCTCAAAAGCAGGGGCGGAGACAACATCATCCTTGCCGATGCCATTGCAGAGGACGGAGCGCGGGGTGATGAGTGAGAGATCGGCGGGTCGGATCAAGGTGGAGTAGCTTTCCAGCTCGATTAGCTTCCTGGGGCAAACCAGGATCCCCCCGAACTCCAGGAGCGCAAAGGCCTGCCCCGATCGGGTCGGGATCGTCGTCTCAACGTCGAAGAATGCTATCTCTGGCTGAATCTGGCCCTCCATTCAGGAATAGGACGAGAACGCAAATGGCGCGAAAAGGAAGAAATGTTCTGGAACAGTGATGGCTGAGATATGAATATATGAACACTTTGCTTTTGTAGTGAGTTTAGGAGCATGAGTAGGGGTTGAGCCAAGAATAAAAACCACACGAGTTTGAATTAAAGGGTTTAGGTTTGGATTGCTTATTTGAGAGGAAAGGTTATGGAATTTTATTTTGGAAGTGGTTGGTTAAATTGACACCGATATGGTTGATATTACGGTGTCACAACATTTTTTTGCGTATTTACAATGTTTCTTTAAAAATGATAGTTCTTAGAAAAATAACCATAATAGTATTATTACAACAGTCATTGATGGAATTGGGACTGCTTTCCGTACTAGGAGTAAAACCATTATGAAATTTCTATATTACTATTCTGTTTGATTAAAGGATTTAGTGGCAAGTTCCGTAGAGACGACTAGACCTGGCAAATCGGTCGGTTAGGTCGGGTTCGGGTTCGGTCACCTTGGGTTCGGGTTATTTCGGGTTCGGATAAGTTCGGGTTCGGGTTGATAACTACATGTTCATGACCCAGGGTCATCGGGTTCGGGTTGACCCAACGGGTTATGAGTTTCATTTATTTTTTTGAAATTTTAAGTAATTTTTAGGACTTAGTGTCAATATAACGAATAAAAAAATTATATATGTAGAAATTTTGAAAAAATGTACGATAATTATGCGACATCATTAAAATTTTTTATGATGATATAAATCTATACACAAAAAATGAGTAGTAAGCAAAGGAATATAATTATAATCTTATTTTTATAACACTATATTTCATATTAAAATGTATGATTATGAAAAAATCTTAGATTAGCAGGTCGGTCAGGTCGGGTTCGGGTTCGGTCAGGTTTGACCCATTTTTAGCGGGTCATTTCGGGTTCGGTCAACTTCGGGTTCAGTCAGCAAAACTTTTGTTCAAAACCCAGTATTTTCGGGTCGGGTGTGGGTCAAAAACAGGTCGGGTCGTTTTTTGCCAGGTATAGAGACGACCAAATTCTATACTAAGAAGACTCGGGCAACATAAAGTAATTTGTAAAAGTTATTCTTTATAAAAGGAGTTACACACGAGACTTCTTGAGAAAAACGTTTGTATAGCTTAAGATTTACAATTTTACCTACAAGGCTACAATCAACATCAATCAAGGTGGAAAATCTGAAGGTAGAGAAAGTTGTTGATGGAATAATATGGAAATTTTCCTTATGAAGGTGGCAATGGATGGACAGAATTTAGAAGTTAAGGATATCAAAGATGGCATTGGATGGACAGAACCTAGAAGCTACGGATAATGAAGATGACAATTATCTAAATGGTCAGTAAATTTCTAAATCTTAATATGATAGCATGTTTAGCTTTGCTCGGACTTATTTCACTTGTAATGGTGTGTGTTTTGGGTCGAGTTCTTATTAATCTACATGAATGGTGGGAAATATATACACAATTGTTTGTAAAAACTCAAAATGGTCTTTTCAAAGTAAAATGTAGTGAGGTATAGAGACTCCAAACATGAAAATATGAAACTACGAAAGACCCTCCAATACTTTTCGAGATTATCCAATATTCTTGAACAAGTTTCAAAGCAGTAATTAAAGGAGAATTCAATGTACTCATAGGATTTCCTCTTGATGTTTATGTCTTTTTTATTTTGGATCTATAGGTTTAAAAATAGAATTTCAATGTGGATGCCTTTTACGGAGTATTATTTAAGAGGTTTGAGACCTCTCTATCATTGAGGCTTTGGTGAAGTTTTAAGATGCAGTCTTTTCTATGGAAATTAGTTTTTGGTGCTATGTGATTTAATTCAGATATCTCATTAATGATTTCAAAATTTCTATGGAGTATTAGAACATTTTTAAAGTTGTTGCCGGGGTTTTCAACTTTTTGAAATGTTTTACCTTGCTAAGTTAAGAGATTTTTAATTTCAACTTGAAGGTATACTTTCTTTTGGCATTCTGCAATAGACAAGAAACAATATATCGAGCACAGCGACATTACGACTAGGGATAGAATTGCGAACAATGACGAAAATTTTCATATCCATCTCGATAAAGTAATTCTTGTTGTTCTCTTTTACTTTTTCATTTAATAAAACTTCTGTTGTTTGTAAAAAAAACATTATTATTTCATTATGAAACTAAAAATTTTATTATATGCTCATTTTAGCTTGAAATCCTGACTTTAGTTATTGCACTTGATATTGCACTAATAAAGCTAAATGATGCTAGTCATTAATTGTTTTGCTAAATATATTAAAATACCAACAAAAGTATGAGGTTAATTATCTAAATTATTCATTTGTGGAGTAAATACTTGATCCTTTATAATATTGAAATTTTTCTTTTTAATCCTCTATTATCAAATATTGTCCTGATGGTCCTTCTTTTATAGGTATATTTCCTTAAATAGTCCTTTTTTGATCTTATATCATGTTGTTAATTTGAGGTCTAAAAATGTAATTTTACAGTGATAATATATCTTTCTTGTCATGCATAATTTCAAAGGTCACTCCAAATGCGTCGTTTGTGAATTACAAACGCTTTCTATTACAACTATAGTCTACAGATGTGGTCTTTCGTCAGAATTTTAGCTCACAATCATAATCATTATTTTTGTATTATTTGTCTAACCAATATCAGAATGCGTCACTGGACATAAGGTTAATGTCAAATTATACTTTTAGCCTTTGAATTAATACCAACATGACAGAAGATTAAAAATGACCATTTGTTGAAAGACACCCATAAAAAAAGATTACGAGAGTAATATTTGATAATAGAGGAACAAATAAGGAAACCCCTCTTTTATAAAGAACCAATTGTAGAATTTACTCTTTGTTGTGTGTACCAAAATGTTTATTCAAAGTATTTCCCTCTCATTCCTAAATTAAATTTTCGCTTTTAGTTTGCAATGTTTTAATAGAGTTATTTTTATTTCAATTTTCTTTAAACTAGGTAAGATTAAAAAATAAAAAAAAGAAATTATCCAAAATAAGAGTAAAAATAAACCTTATCTCCAAAATGTGAGAGATCTATTTTTATCCCAGAATAAAATTTTACACTATCATAATGTGTTACTGTAAATTATCATTCCATAGTATTTTTGGTATTATATATTTATATTATTGGCATCGTTAGTCTTATTTTGTGGATAAAAACATGAATGATTTATTTTTGTTTTCTCTTTTTTTATTCTTACTTCACTCTTTCTTTCAAAACAAAATTTAAAAAAATCACATCAAAATTTCTACGAAAAAAAAGTGACATGTTTATTACTCCGTATTTACCAAATGAGTAACAAAAATAGTTATAAAAAAATAAATTAAATTGACCATGTGAATAGTAAATAAATAATTTAATTTAGGCTGAATGAAATATTTATCTTAAAAATTCAATTTTCTTTCCTACATAAATTTTTATTTTACTTCAATTTTTAACGGAGTATATCATAAAAGTTACTCCGTAATAATTGTTTCTGTTTTTAAAAATTAGAAAGATGAGTATTGCTTATATGATCCCAACATCGACATTTAAAATGTAAACCTTCTCATATATTTTATGAGCTTGCATATAAATACTCCCTCCGTCCCAAATTAATTGTAACGTTTGCTTTTTTGGCAGTCGCGAGAACTTTTGTTTATTTCTACGTTTTCATTGGTTATTTGATAAAATAAAATATTATTGACACTTTTTATTTCGAAGAACTTTTCATGTAGTTTTTTAATATGTAAATTTTATTTTTTATTTCTATACCAATATGTAAATAAAATAAATTGAAAAAACTTTATATTTTACCTCGGGAATACAAATGTGGAAAATATTTAGGGACGGAGGGAATATTTATTTTTTTTTTAAAAAAACAAACTTTGTTACGATACAAGTACACAAAGATCCATAAAAATAATAAAAATAAGCATAAATTTTAGATCCACGAAAATGGAATAATTTGCCTACAAGAAGGCCAAAAATAAGGATTCAACGGGTGAAAAAAATAACGAAAACCCTAATCGTAACATCGTTGCTTCCGCCTTCCGGGACAGCTCAGTTTCTCTTGGAATCCATCCATGGCTATGGCTGCTGCTGCTAGAGCCGAAACTCGGCCACCTTCCGAAGAAGAAGACGAAGAGACGTCAGCCGAAGAACCAGAAGAAGAAGAGGATGTCGATTCGGAGTCGGAAGGAGATCAAGGAAAACCCGACACCCAATCATCTCAGAAATCTCAATTCTCTCTCGAGTCATCCGATTCGGAATCCGACTCGAAATCGGCCAACGGCTCCGTCACGAAACCCATTCTCAAGCCAACTCCTCTGTTCCCAAAGTCGCCTGAATCGTATTCGAAGTCATCTTCAAAGCGCCCGAAGAGTAAATCTGTGACAGAGGGGGAGAAGAAGTCTGGGGGCCGTCTCTGGACTGATGAAGATCAGGTTTCCCTCCTTCGAGGTATGATTCAATTCAAGTCCGAAAAAGGGGCCGACCCTCTTGCAAAAATGGCAGATTTTTATGAATTTCTCAAGGATAGATTAGATTTCGCGTTTTCAAAGTCCCAGGTGCAAGAAAAAATTAGGAGGCTTAAGAAGAAGTTTGTGAAAAAAGGGGACACCTCTACTTCCAATCCTGCTGATTCTCAGATCTTTCAACTTTCACAAAAATTTTGGGGTTCTGAAAGTGGAAGTATTAAAAATTTTGATGCATCTAGTGGAAAGGGGAAAATGCTTGCAGAGGTCAAAAACCTGAGTGATTCTAAAAAGATTGTTGAGAGTAGTAATGCAGTGGAAAAGAGCAAAGAGAAAAAGAAGAGAGCACCCAAAGACGAAGAAATCGGGGCGAGGAAAAAGATGAAGAAGGAGATTACAGTTGTTGAAAAAGACGAACGGACTGCTTCAAAGGGAAAAGATGACCAAACCATTGCTGAGAGAGTGAGTATTCAGGCCACTGCTGAAGTGGGGAAAAATGGCCCATCATTTGGTAGGGGAAACGGTAAACAGATTGCTATGAATGGTGTAGTCCAATTTGATATGGAGAAGAGAGAGAAGGATTTTAGGGCCATATACCCTCATTTCCTCAACTCATTCAGTGTGAAATACTATCCGTTGACACCTGAGGAGACACTGGGTAAATGGAAGGAAAATGCTATTCTGCTTGATTGTTCTGTGGCGGAGAAGATCGAGAAGAAATGGGACAATGTGTGGGAAGAATACGGTAAACTTGGTCAGATGGTTGCAGATTTGGTATCACTCCAAGCTAGGATGATGCGCGATGAAGAGGTAACTTTGTAGATGGAAATTCGAAGCATTTTGAAATTAATCGGTGTGGTGGGTAGTTTACATGCTGTTTTTTAGAAAATTTCCTGATATAAACCTCTTGTTACACCTATCATTTTGAAATCAACCTTGTTTTTTAATTTTTTTTATCTCAGTCCTTTGTATTAGGTGCTTGTGTTTTATTATCGCTTCTTTAAAAATTTTACAGCATTTCGAATATTTCATACTCCGCGTTCCATGTGACAATTGAAATTAAAAACTACTCTGTGTTTCCTATTCAGCTTGAGAAATGGCATTTACTGCACAACTCAACTAGTCAACTCTTCACCAAATTGATTTTGTCTAATTTACTTATACGCGTGTTTTTTTGTTTTTACTGATATATTTTGTGTATTGTTTGGACTTAATTTTTTAGGTCTCATATCTATCTTTATCATGTATTTGTTGTAATTGTTGTTTGAAATGTTTCCCAGCATTTTTAGGCTATCAAAGTAAGTCTTCCATCTCACAATAGGGGAGAAAAAAGTACTTTCAGCATAAGAAATGCCTGTTGTCTGGATATTATTAGATAAAAATCTCAACATAAGTGATTTTATTTAACTTATTCATGTAACTGCCTTATGTTTATTTGTTTTGTTGTAACTTAATGAACCCAAAAAGTTGTCAAATTTCTCACATGGAGCAACTACAATCTGGTTAATGCACACTATTGCATGTAATTGTTCATCTGTTATCAATGTCTACTTAAGTTGTACTATCTGTTAAAGTAATGACAAATGTAGTAATATACTTCTTCCATCCTGATTTAAATTGGTTGTTTTGATTGAAGTTATTTAAAATCACTTTATAAGAAAAACGACATGAATTAAAAAATAAAAATTACATATTTAAAAACTACATCAAAAGATTTACAAAACTAGTGTTGACATGATTATATTTTTATCAAATAACTAACAAAAATAAGGAAACATAGTAAATGAAGTTTAACTGTGTGAATGGTAACAAGCAATTTAATTTGGGACAGAAGGAGTAGTAATTTGTTTCTTCTTTTTTTATCATCCCTCCCTCATCTCACTCCTTTGTTTCTATTCCTAACACCATGTTTGGTTCAAGGAATTTGGAATAAACAGAAAATGAAATATGGAGCAATTTTCTTTCATTTTTCTCACCAAACTAGATAAGTTTGATTTTTCCTCTTAATACTCCCTCCGTCCTATAATATTTTTCCCGTTTGTGTTTACGAGGTTTGACCGACTTTATTTTGAATTCAATTTATTTAATTGTAGGTGAAAAATTAAAAAATAAAATTTATATATTTAAAAACTATATCAAAAGTTCTACAAAACAAATGGCGATAAGACTATTATTTTATCAAATACCTAATGAAAATAAGTAAAGAAAGTAATTAAAATTTGACCGTTTAAAAAATATTTGGTAAGAACATTTTAGGTCGGAGGGAGTATATTTTGCTTTCTAACAAATAAGAAGCTTGTTTTGTCTCGGTTTTTCTTTTCTTTTTCTTTTAACTTTGAACTAAAGAGTGTACAATTTTGGGATTGAAATCCTTTTTTTTTTCTTGTCTCACAAACTTTACCACTTTCTATTAAAATATTATTTTTAATTCTACTGATTCTTACTTTATCTATCACATTATACTTTTTTTTACTAATAATCTCTATAATTACATTATAATTTTTACCATAAGTTCATATTTTTACCTATTACATCAAAAGTAATTTTAGAAAATTAATAATGGAAGAACTTTAAGAGAGGGATGGAGTATATCACATCGATAACATTTAAAACCTACTCCCTCCGTCCCGGAGGGAGTACAAAACAAGGCTATATTCTTGCGCCCTATTCAATTAGTTTACTACTCCTTATGAGTACAAAACAATCTTCTTATAATATTTAGAAAATGAGAAATGCTAGAGTCACAAACACTTCGGTCACAAAATACACAAACTTGCTATTTGTGCACCTCAATAAGATGCTGATAATAATAACGTTAGAGTAATGCTAGAGTCACAAACAAACAACTCACAAAATTTACAAACTTGCCTTTTTAACATTTTCCTAGAAATAAGATGCTCCCAAATACTCCGTAATAAAAGTATTTTAATTTAAAATCCACAAAAGAAAAGTTTGTGAAGTTTGTGAACTATTTGTTTGTGACTCTAACATTTTTCATAACGTTATCATCCAAGAAATAAGTCTAAAAATTCTCCATGAGAACTATAAAATTTTAAAACTTGAAACGAGAATCACAAATAATACTCTCCGTCCATGAATAAAGTTTCCATTACGCATTACGATATTTGAATGAAGTTATTTTCAAATCATTTTATACGAAAAATAGTATGGAATAAAAAAAATAAAAATTACATATTTAAAAACTGATGGTGTAAATTACTTGACCGGTCAAACTATACTAGACCGGGTCTAGAATAGTTGGCTTGATTCAGTAAAGTAAAGGAAGTAAAAACACTCAGAATGACCGGTAGGACTTTAGATGGAACACCCGTAGCCCGAATTATATTAAAATAGAGAATGCACGGTCATTTTTACAAGGGAGTTTAGAGAGAGTGAATTCGGATCCCCTTCTTCGAGGGTTACAAGAGGTATATATACTAGGCTAGGGGGGCAGGACCACGTGCGCCCACGTGGGGGCATGCTGCTGGCGTGGTGTGAGGTGACTGGCTCTGAGCTGCCTTGTCATCTTGCGAGGGGGGGGGGGGTTGCGCCCTTGTCGTGTTCTGGCTTGGAAATGTTCCTTCGGCATCTCTGCAATTCCAACCACTACAGTCCAAGTCCTTTTTGGATTCCTCCTGCCGACAATCCCCAATCTCTAAAAGCTGCACCGGTTGATTACTGAAGGTTGGATTAATCGACTTCGGAATTGGTTCCTGACGATGGAGTAAACCGACCGGTATACTATCCGAAGTGTACTGGTCAACTTCTTGGTCAACCAGTCGTCCATCTGCCAACGATTCAGATCTCTCTCCTGAGTTTGACCTCTTTGACCGGTCAACTATCCGGTCCTAACCTTTGACCGGTCTTGGGTGAAATACACCCATCAAAAACTATATGAAAAGATCTATAAAACTAGAGATGAAATGACTATATTATTTTATCAAATAAGAAACATAAATAGATTAATAATGTAAATAAAATTTGACCTTGTGAATAGTAAATGATAACTTTATTGTTGGACAGAGGGAGTACTAATTTTGTAAATATCAAGAATATAGATAATCAACACGCCAGTTTTTCCTCATAGGGGACACATAAGGATATAAGAGAGGATCAACCATAATTTTAAGGAAACATGTAACAATTGTGATACATTCAAAGAAGAATTTGTTACTCGTAGGGTTGTAAACATGCAAGAAAGATAGTCATATTAATTCATCCAAATCAAAGTAATTTCTTAGATGTACTTGACATTAAAAACAATTTCCTCTAAACCATATCTTATTTGTTGTGCATTATATATGCTTGTAAAAATATTCTTCTAGACGTACATGCATTACTCTCTCCATCCTAATTTATATTGCCTGTTTCGCTTCACGATATTTGATAAAAATTACTTTCAAACCATTTTATATAAAAAATGATGTAGAATTAAAAAATAAAAATCACATATTAAGATGCTACATCAAAAGATCAACAAAACTAGTAGTGACAAGAACATTTTATTTTATCAAATTGATAACGAAAATAGAGAAAGAATATAAATAAAATTTGACCATGTAAATAGTAAATACTTCCTCTGTCCCATTTTGAATTGTCTGTTTGTCTTTTTTCTCTGTCCCAAAATAAGTTGTCTGATACTTGTTATCATAAATTTTTAAAAGTAAAATACCTAAACTACCCCTAAAATAAGTCTCTTCTCCATCTTATCTTTTCATTCATCGTCACCTCTCTTAAAAAGTAATGGCAATTTTGAAAAAATCAACTCTATTTTTTCTCTTTCTTAAATATGCCCAAAAGTCAAAACAGATGATTTAAAACGGAACAGAGGGAGTATAAAATTTAATTTGAGACAGAGAGAGTAATGAAATCATTTAATTAATTTTGTTCGTCATATATCTTCCTGATTGGGTAAGTTGCTAGAGTATTTACTACATAATTTTTTATGAGTATGGATTGTTACACATGCAAAGTATTTACATAGTAATTACAAATTTGTGTAATTACACACTCATGTAGTAATTTCAGGGTGGTGTAATTACACTCATGCCCTTATTCATTATTTTCCATCAGCTCAAATATACTGACTGCTCCAACAATTCAACATATGTCTACAATGCAGAGAGATATCATACAAAAGCTTGTGTCCTTTTGCTAGTCTTGATTCCCTTAATAGCTGCAGAAAGTAACAGTAACCAGTCAAGATAGGGTATATTCCGTTCAACTTATTTTTTCAGCTTATTACTTATTCTTATTAAAATCATATCAGATCAAATAAAAAACAGCATTAAATATAACTAGAATCAGATCAGACCAGATCTCAAAAAATTAGATCTGACGAAGGAACGCGACCATAGAACGGAAATACGGAATAACACATTCGAATTCGGATAGGACAGAAATAGAACAAATGCTCATCAATCCTACCTGCAGCATAATCTGCAGCTCCAAAAACAGCCGAACCGGCAACTAAAGCATTAGCTCCAGCCTCAATCACCTGGAAAGCAGGATCGCATGATCATTAGAAAAGGACTAGTCGTGGAATGGTTCTCAAATGTAGAGGATGACGTTTATAATACTTTCAAAAAGTAGACTGTGGGAGTGTTTCTTTGTGCTGGTGCTTATTGGTTTATTGCTGATAAGTGTTTTTTAACTTATAAGCTAATTATAAGTCAAACTTTCTTTTGAAGAAGTAAAATAACTTAAATGACAGACATTTGGAAATATTAATAAATGGTGAAGGGTGGTTTTGTTATTAATATAGTTAAAAACGGAAAAACAAAAAAAACTAACTTAAAAATAAGTAGGTAAAGCCTATTTTTTTCTGACTTATAAGAGAAACAACTTATTAGTCAGTTTATAAGGACAGAGAAGCATGCCATTAACTGGCTTATAAATTAAAAACTGCTTATAAATAGTTTTGAGCAGCTCATAAGGAAAACTCATTATATGTCAAAATCCCATGTTATAAAGAACGATTTTGGAAATTTCTCAAAACATAAAAACACTGTAGATGCTGAACATCATTGAGTTTGGCCATTTGGGTGTAGCAACCTGGTTTTGAGAGATTGCAGAAAAGTAAAAAGAATTAGTTTCTATATTTCTCACATTTTTTAATTTTTTAAATACTATTTAAATATAAGGAGTATATTGGTAAGGACAAATAGCATGGGTATTGTATTCTGTACAAGGAAATGTACTCCCTCTGCCCCTTAAACTAAATTCACACTTAAACTTCAAAGAGATCAAAGCAAATTTTGAACTAAATTTGACTTTCCAATTTCGCCCATGAAATGACCTTGATGAAATAAGTGTGTAATGTGGGTGGGTTTAAAAAGTGTGGGTCGGTCTAAAAAGTGATTGAAAATGATAGGGATAGTTTAGTATATTTGGTGTATTTTAATACCAAATATGGAAGCGTGAAGAAAGTGTGAACTTAGTTATGGGACAGAGGGAGTAGCATACTAGGTCCTTGAGCTGGTAATGAGAGTCCGAGTCCTCCATTTATAAAGTTGGTGGTTGATGCACCCTGGTTTTGAAATTACAATATTCATCATGGCAAGGAGAAATAGAGGGATAAATGTTGCAGCTGTATTAAAAAAGTCAGGGATATTTCTCCACCAACTTTACAAATTGTAGGGTCAAATGACTCAAATGGTGTTGATGTCGGTCAACTTTTTAATTCGATGAATGAACCTCAATGAGTGTGACAAAGGAGAAAAGGGAAATGTTTCTGTTAAGGTTGATTACCTTGTAAGCATTATTGGGACCGACCCCACCATCTACTTCAATCCATGGATTCAATCCCTGCAAAAAAAAGGAGTGGCAATTTAAGTACTTTGAGAGGCTCAGTAAAGTGAGCAAATATGATCAGCATAAAGTAGGCTCACTAAGTTGAGCAGATACGGTAACCATTAAGTAATACCCTCTCTGTACACATCCTTCTCAAGTCCGAGATTTTCTTGACTTGGCTCTCAATGAAGCTCTGCCCACCAAATCCAGGGTTTACTGTCATGATCAGTACCAGATCGACAACTGTTAAGCAAGAAAATAATGTCAGACGATTAGGTTTGGCCCCCTGTACTCAAAGTTGTGCAATACTAATTGGGTTAGATGATTTCCAATTTAAAAGAGGTTGGAGAATATGGTTATGTAGCACTGGTGAAATTTGAAGTAGCAGGTCCCATATAACTTCATACTCTGAGCAACTTTAATTGTCATCTCACATTTCAAAAGGTGAAAAGAAATCATCCTCCGTTATTCGAATGATGGGACAGTCTGCAAGATATAAGACACTTACTATCAAGAACATATTCTATCGCAGTTAAGGGGGTTGAAGGATTGAGTACCACTCCAGCTTTAGCTCCAAAACTCTTGATCTGAATCATAAATTCATAATCAACCATATATCTCTGTAACTATCCAACGCGGGATTCTTTGTCCCATGACAGAGCGCACACTCATAGAACAAGTGAAAGAATAAATTAATCAATAGCCAATCACCAAAGTAGCGGACAAAAAATTGCAAAGTTAGCCACACTAAAAACTAAAAAGGTTACTCTATACTTCATGAAAGGACCTGTGGCATTTATTTTTTGAAAAAATTGACCATGAAGTCAACAAAAGTTTGGATGATGCAATTGGAGTAGGTGCGGGGTGCATATGGGACGGCCTGGGTATGGGGGTTTACCGTGGATAGGAACAATCAATTTTACGTTCAGAGCATCGTAGGTGCCCCAATTGAATTGGTGTAACAATCTAACGCCCATTCAATTGGTGTAAGATTACCTCC